ATTAACTTTAATTTTATTAAGAAATATTCTAGTTAGGCCAATTCTCTGGCTTCCTTTATACAGTAGAATCTTAGCCAACTCTTAATAAGCTGTTGCACAACACTGGCAAGGCCAACACAGTTATCTCGTTGTTTAAGAGTTAAAGTCATTAAGTTTCCTTCACGTGTGATCAGACAAATTTTTAAAGACCGTTCGGCTGTTCCAGCGGCAGCCGAGCAATCTTTTTTTGAGTTGTTATACAACACTGGCTGTGCTTAAAATTTCTTAAATTTTAATCAGATGTTTTTGGTAAGCTTTTTTTTTTTGGCTTCCTTAATTCAAATAAACCTTAGCAAAAGTTATATACGCTGTTACACAGCACTGACATAGGTAACACAGTATTTCAAATTATCCAACACTAATAAGAGAAATACAATATATCTTATTACTTTAAGCTGTTGCCTCCAAATATTTTTGTTAAACCCATGCTTGGAAGCTTTTATTCAAGCAGAACCCAACCTTTTTTCTGCACTGTTATACAACACTGCGCACAGAGTATGTTGCAGTTGTGCGCTTTTCTGCGCCCACAAACTTTTCACTTGTTTTATATTTCATTTTTTTTTTTCGTGGGGCGTTTACCTGAACGAAGGCGGACGTCGGAGCAGCCAAATAAAATGAAGCACATTTTTTATACAAATCGGAGTAGGCGGCGGCAGCACAGCCTGAAGGAGGGGAAGGCCGAGGAGGAGGAGGAGGTGGCAGAGGCCAGTTGCACAGGTGGAAGAGTAGCCAAAGAAAGAGTAGCAGCAGCCGGCTGCATCTAGATGCGAGAATTACAGCCGCAGCCGCAGACTCAACCTCAATCTCAAGCCTGGGTCAGGCGCACACGCACAACAACAACATCAACAACAACGGCAAAATATTTAAATTGATCATCTCCATTTAATAAAGGCGCAGGCCTCATCTCCTCTGCAGTTGGTCGTGGCTGCTGCTGCTGCTGTTGCTGCCGCAAAAAAGTTCTTAACTTAATTTCGCAACGATTTTCATAATTCACCATGAACACCATCGCGGTGGTTGGTCGGTGGCTGTTGCAACTGTTTTGGAAGTTGGGCCCGCACCTGCCCCCGCACCTGCCGCCACCAGCAACCACCTGCCTCTCCGTGACGCCCATCTGTTCAATTTCTGTTGAGCCATCCGGCGTGTGGGGGTGTCAGGAAGTGCGGCAGAAGACTTTCTGCATGTAATTATGGTAACATGCTTTTGGCAAGTTCTTTTTGCAATACTCGCCCCAAAACAGAGTTGTCGAGTTTTGCATTTAAATGGGTTTTAAGCAGAAGACTGCCAAGAGGAAAATGTAACCATTTTTAAGATAACTCGAGGATTATCTGAAAATTTTAGAAAGATCGGACTATGTTACGGACCAAGTTACCTAAGAAAGCGTTTTGTATAGGGTGTATATCTCTATATCTCTACATCTCTATATATCTTAATATCTATATGTCTATATCTCTATATCTCTATATATATATATATATCTATATCTCCATGTCTATCTCCATCTTTATCTCCATCTCTATCTCCATCTCCAACTCTATCTCTATCTCCATCTCCAACTCTATCTCTATCTCTATCTCCATCTCCATCTCCATCTATATCTGTATATATCTATCTTACGACTATAGTTATTTATTTGATTCACCTGACAACCCTGTTTCGATTGCTGCAGAGCAACAGCTCCCACTCAGAGGCAGCAGCAGCCGAGGCTTCGGCTTACATTGAGTCGAGCACAAGTTGATTTTTTATTACGCGGTCTACGCCTTTCATATTAAAAGACAAGCCCTGTTTCGAGTGGTTTACATAAATGAAATTAATGCGCCCAACATGAACCTGAGACCCAGACACGCTGAGCTTGACTTGGGATCTGACTCTCGACTCCGACTCTCGAGTCTGGGGCTAGAAGATTACAAATGGTTGATCTCGTCTTTGGCTAATTTGACTGTCCATTGTGGCCGTAATTTGTGCGGCCTGTGCAATTATGAGATAAAGTGGGAAAGTGCGCTACAATTTTCCCCTCAGCATATATAATTGCAAGATTTGCCAGACAGGGAGAGCAACAGAGAGCGAGAGCGGGAGGGATAGAGGGCAAGACCACCTGCACGTGAATTTCTAGGCATTGCTGTAGGTGCACTTACAGAAATAAATTGCCTAATTAAATTCTATCCACATTAAAACTCTAATTGATTTTGGTTAAGGAATATATTTGATAATCCTTTAAAGACCTTCGAAAATTTGAACATTTTTTGAGCTCAAATAAAATCAATTTCCTGCAAAAGTTTTCTATACAACTTTTCTAGAAATATATTGTGGCATTAAAAATAGTTTTATCATGGACATGTGCCCCTCTTTTTCTGAGTGTAAAGCGCAATAATATGATTTTTCAGTCAAAGACAAATAAAAATATATTTTTGAAAAATTTACTATGCCAAGAATCTGCCAGAAATGTTGGCTATAACAGAACGGGTATATTTATCAAAAATTGTATAAATAGTTGCACAACCTTTTTTCGCTCAGTGTAGTTGGCAGCACTTTGCATTCGAAAAGTCAAAAGATAAAAATAAAAAAACAAAAGGAATACCCAACCGAAAACTGTAAAAACTAATGATCTATGGACATGCGCTGATTTTATGACCTGCAGATTATGGTCAAAGAGAGAAATGAAACTCGAGAGAGAGAGAAAAAAAGCAAAAAGTCACGCACTCGGCGGCCTGCTGAGTGTCCAGGATCAGAATTTACCTGTATAGCGAGCTGGCGCCGCAAATCCATAACAAAAATGCACGAAAATCCGTTAGACAGACGCGTAGAGATAAACCAAGCAGATCCTTAAATAAATAAGAACGTTGCGCTCATTTCGTATGCAAGGCAGATCTTGTAGCTCATAGCATAGCTATCGGCTCGGAGTTCGCTTCCTTTGCGACTTGCTGACTTTTGCCGTTTCCCAGTATGATGTCCTTTGTGCAGGACTCTAATGATGGTAAAAACTGTTTTTCTTGCCAGCCTGGCATTTTGTCCTGTTCGGCTCTCACCTGAAGTGCGGCACTTTCCATACACCTTTTGTCCCTTTTGTCATCTTGCTTTCTGCTGCTTTGTCCCAGATGCCATTAATTCGTAATGAGAAAGGTGTCAACCGGCGCAAAGTCAGTTAGACAAATATTAAGAGAAACGCCTGCGCATGGCCAAAACGGCTGCAGGTTCTGCTTAAAATCAATTAGTTCGCATAGAAATATATACGAACTATCTACAGCTGTACTAAATGCTGAACAAATATATGTTACAATCTGCCTTTTGTTTCATTTTCCATTTTCCATTGTCTTGCGGAGATCTGTAGAAGGCAGCTACAAGAAATGGCTGCAAATTTATGGCTCAATCTGCTGCGTTCTTTCAATTGTGCTCAAGGAATTGTTTTGGATAGCGAAAAGAATATGTAGATCGAGTTAATTACAACAGTTCGAACTCGGCTCGAGCTGAGCACAAGACATTTCCTGAGAGAAAATATCAATTCAGTTCCTAAGAAAACCGAAGTATATCTTTAAAACTTAGACGTTGATCGCATATAATACCCTTTAAATGGGGCAAAAAACATAAAGATTCTTCTACATTAAACTTGAAAGTCTTTAAGCTGATCTTTCGCAGAAATCTTCTTGGCGTTCTCTGAACAAATCATCATGTAGATCAGCTGACCTAAATAAACCTGAAATCAAGTATTTGAAATTAATTAAGAGCATGAAAGAAGCCTATCTACAATCGCCAGACTTAAGCTTATCCAAAAGATCTGCTAACAGAAGTAGGCCTCAATATATTAACCGTGAAAGTGCTTCTGTTTATTTCTAACATTTTGTAACTTTTGCGAATATTATTCATTTATGCTGAATATTAGAAAAAGTTCGCATTAATATTGAATAAGCTTTCTGATGAACTTTAAGCAAACAAAAGTTCGCTAGCGGCAAACATTAAATACTTTTTAAAACAAAACAAAAAGCTTCTGATCGAACATAGTCGATTGCAAACTTCATTCCCTTAAGGTTTACTAAAAGTTAACCTTTTAACAATATTAGCTTGAAGTTCTGAACTCTTAACGATCATTATCATATGTATCTCAACTGATCTTGAAAGTTGCTAATCTTCTTAACCTTAAATAAATTTAACGAGATCTAGTCTGGAGAAGCAGATCGTAACGATCTCAAAGATTACAGCACCTTAAGAGAATACAAGACAAGATCCATTTAAATCTTCAAGAAGTGACTCACAGATCACCTTGAGTCTATTGAAGATCACTAGAAACCGATCATGATCAACTTGAGGATCATCTTTAAAGAGCAATATAATATATTCTTTAAAGTTCCGTCTGAATCTTTAAGGAAACCTGCACATATCAGATGTCACTGAAGATCACATGAAAGCACCTTAATCAGATCAAACTTTAAGTTCATAAGAGTCAAGATGAAACTGTTTAAATCAGATTGAATGAACCGTAGTAATAAGATCAACTTAATATCTTGCGATAGAATCGAACATCAAGACCATACTCATATTAATAAGTTCAAATTATAAGCCAGATCTTAACTATCTCAAAGAGCATACGACTAAAAGGAAAGATAATATATTCTTCCAAGAAGCAACTTCGAACTTCACGATAAAAGCTCTTTAAGATTATGGGAATGTTATATAGATTCATCCAAGTTCCGTCTGGAAGAGACTACTCACAGATCTGATCTGATCTGACCTGAAGATCTGTTTAGCTGAAGATCACTTGGAACCTTCTTATTGATTCAACATGAAAATCACGCACATATTAATTAGATCAACTGAAAATTAGATCTTAACGATCTCACAAATCAAACGACTCAATAGGAATTCAATATACGTTCCTCAAAGTTCCGTCTGGAAGTAACTTCTCACTAATTGCAGATCACTTGGAGCCCCTTTACAATCACAATCACAACCCTTTCGTTCTTTTTGTTTATTTACCAAACGACACATTTCTTGAGTGGATTCATGTCGCTGCCCAGCTTACAATTGAAGGCCTCACTAAACTCGGGCATGTTGCTGAGCGTGCCCACGACCCGAAACTCCTCGTACGCGTGCACGTCCGTCTTCAGCTTGCTCAGCTTGGAGGCCGTGTTCCGGCCGGTGCACCAGGTCTGGGCAAATTTCAGAAAGAACAACTGCCGATTGTTAAAGTCCACGCCGAGCAGCGGTTTCTCCAGCCACGCCTTGTTCTGAGTATGCCGCTTGTAGGCGTAATAGGCCATGCGAGCGCCGACATTATCGGCAATATTATCGCCGGAGGTCAAAGTGCCATTGGTAGCGACGCCCAACAGTATATATTTATTGTACTGCGACTCGAGGCAGCGATAGCGTGCCTTAAAGTTGCGCAAAGAGCCCGCTGACCACCAGTTCATCTTTTTGCCATCAAAGTTGAACTGATAGCAATACGAGTCGAAACCGTGCGCCATCTCGTGTCCGACAATATTCCCAATCCCGGCGAACTTGAGCACGTCGGGCAGACGGACATGGTAGAGGGGCCACTGGGACATTCCGATCGTGATGAATGCCTGATTGAGAAAGTCCGCATAGTAGGCGTTCACAGTGCGCGTGGCCATCAGCTGCGGTATCAGCGCCTTGTCCACGGAACGCAGACGTATGCGCGCCCGATTGCGCTCCAATGTGGCCAGATTCTCGAACCAATCCGACGACATTTGCATATCCGCATAGGCGGCATCTATAAGCTCCGGATGCTGCAGCTCATCACTGTAGCCGACCAGGACATCCATCGAGGCCAGCTTGGTTCGAGCCTGCGACCGTGTCTCCTCGTCCAGCCAGCTGTACTGCTCGAGCAGCTCATAGAACGTGTCCCTGATGTGCCGCGCCAGCTGCAGCACATCGGCGCGCCGTTCCGCATCAAAGAGACGCCCAATAAACCAGGGCAGCAGCGCGTAGTTGAAGTACGTTTCGGTGACAATGCGACAGGCATTCGTTGGGCTGCTGGCATTGCGCGTACTCTGCGTCTGCCAGGTGGCATAGAACTTCAGCAGCAGGCGCTGCTGCACATACGAGCGCAGCAGCGGCAGCGGCTGCTGCTCCAGAAAGTGCACCAGATCCCCGACAGACTGCAGCTGGTTGTGCACCAGCCAATGCGACTGCTGTGTGCCATTGAAGGCCAGGTCGAAGTAACGTGTCCAGTTCAGACGCTCCTCCTTGTGCCGCGCCAGAAACTCGCCGAGCGTCAGCTGCTCCGTTTCATTGCGCGTCTTCGCCAGCTGCGTAAGATTCCGTTCGAAACGCGTGAGATTCTCGAAACGTCCGAGAAACTCCAGACGTTGCTGCTCTTCGTTCAGCTGAAAATCCCTCGTCATATTCTGCAGCTGCTCGGGCTTGAAGTTGGCCAACATTTTGCTGGGCGCCTGCAGCAGAATGACGAACTTGCGCAACGACGTGCTGTAGTGCACCTTGAGCGGCAGCAGCGGATACAGCTCGTAGGGCGACATGAAGTTCACGTAAACCCAATCCTCGCGGCTGGCGTTCTGATGATGCGCCTGACCCGGCTGGGCATAGCGATCCTCCAGCTGACCGCCGGCCATGAATCTGGCATAGCCCAGCGACAAGTTCGACTTCATTTGCACGCAGCTGGCAAAGAATTGCTTGGCCTTCCAATCGGCGCCGTTCCTGGACTCATTTCTGGCCGGTTCCGTGGCATTCTTCAGATGCTGCAGCACCTGCTCATCAATATCCTTTTGTATGGCCGAGAGCAGGCTGGAGTTGCGCTGTTCCGGCTGCAGCAGCGGCGACTGCTTCCAGCTGCCGCAGGCGTACTCGTAGAAATTCTCGCACGGATCGACGCTGCGATTCATGATGGACAGCATAAAGCTGCCGTATTGCTCCAGCAGCTCTTCGCGCTGCGCTATGCGACGGGGCGTGGCAAAGAAATCGCTGCTCGTATTATTCTCGGGGAGTTCGGCGGCGGCAACTGCGACTGCAAGCGCAGCGACTATTGTTAACGTGGCCAACAGCGTTTTGGCCATGATTTGATTTTGGACAACGCGCTCGGCAACTGCCGCAAATGTTCTAAACTTTGTAAGCTGCGCGCTATGCCAATTTATACGCCACGTGCAACAGGTTGAAGCGAGCTGGCAACAACTAATTTTGGGCACTTTTTGATACCCTGCACCGTGTGGCAAATGGGGTATGCCAAATATTTAGTGAACGTATGTAACAGGTAGCTTTTAACGAAACTGCCCAGATCTATCGGGGCCTAAAGCCAAAATGCCTAGCCGAATCTAACCCAAGTTCAGAGTCAGACTCTCTCAGAAATATATTCATAATATATATATTTAAATATATTTTAAATATATTTACATATTGTTTTATATTTATGCTTCATCAGCTGCAATAGTTTGATGGTGTAGACAGCTTTTAACTATTCACTCTAACCAACTGATATACCCTGGTATACCCTATAAACTTGGCAACTTTGTAAGCCTTTCTTAGCATATTATTTATCTGAGCTAAAAATCATAGCAATATATAAAAATAAACATATTTTGAATAATTTCGGACTTCGAGCACATTAACAGGGTATCTGCTAGTCAACCTCATCCTCATATCTATATCTCTGTCTCTGTATACATATTAGGTAACGTAAATGTAAGTACTAGAATGCATATTAGTCTTCTTCAAGCACATGTACAGGGTATCTGCTAGTCAGGCTTTAGCCGTGTATTCTACATCTGTGTCTCTTCATATATATAAAGGTTTATATATACTTAAAACAGTTTGAATATATTTAAGTCTTCTTCGAGCACAACTACAGGGTATCTGGCAGTCGTGCCGCGTGTCTGCCGCACTCATTACGCCACGCTTAGTTTGGCACGTTGATTTGGTTGTATATTTGTACGGAATGTTTTTTTTTTTCTGGTTTTATTCAAAAACCAAACTCATTCTTCAAACTCACCACAGAAACCACAATTAGCTGCTGGAAAAATTTATTGTTATTCTAAATCAGATTTAAGCGAATATCTTGAGCGAAATCTGCGCCTCTTCGAACTCTCGGCACATTCTCCAATTAATTTAATTTTGTTTGTTTTTTTATTTTTGTTTTTCAAGCACTTTACCCGATTCTCTTATCACTCTTCACTTATCGTTTGATTCTGCTGTTGTTGTTTTTTTTCCTCGTTTTTTTTGGAAGTTTTTAACCTATTTTATCGCTAATTATAGATCAGAGCTTGGTTTTGTTTGTATTTTTGGTTTGGTCGAATGTCACATGTTAATGACCCCATTCGAAATAATAGCCGCAATTATAATGCAAAACATTTCTAAATGAATTTGAACTTTGCTTTTGGATTTTTGTAATAATTTTTCTGTCAAAAAAAAACTTTTGTCGAAATTGATACATTTAAATTCGGAAAATGTTGTTATTAGGTTTGTTTTTATTTAATTAAATAAGCTTAAACTCCTTCTTGGAGCTCTGAGCTTAAAGGAACTAGCCGAGTCTTTGGGCTCTACCCGGAACGTTTCACTGGCTGCTATAGTTTTTAAAAAGGCTTTTCTATATTTTAAAAGTTAAAAAACAAGCCTAGACCTTTAAAGAATAAAATACTCTGTGATTGCAAATATTGTATAATATTATCACCTAAGCTAGCATAGCCTTGGAGTTCTAGCCGGAACGTTACACTGGCTGCTACACTTCATAAGGGATATTCAAATAAATATTTGTCTCAATGTCCACAATTTCCATAAGCCCATTGTAAGCGTAAGCGTTTTATTTATATTACTCTCTATCCTCTATTAACCGCTGTCCGCTCTCAATTATCATTTGAGGCGCCTCTCTTTGCGCTTCTCATGCCCATTGTATTCGATTGCCAGGTGATCAGCTACTGTTTGCCCTGGCTTAGCCGCGTGAGATCATTTCATTTGTGTGTGTTACCTAATGCATTTGAAGCTCTCTAATCGTGGCTTCATGAATGAACCCACGTCTAGAGGGTCTAATGATGCATGGAAAATACTAATTCCAGTTGCGCTGACCACAAAATACTCATTAAAGCAACCAACGATTATTGTTAGGAAAAAAACAAAAACCTTTGAATAATTAGAGTAGATCCGCAGCCAAATCCACAGCTATACATATAGTTATAATAATGGAGTTGTCTTAAGGTATTTCGTTGATTTATGAACAGCTAGAACAAAGCTGAAAAAATGCGGTCTGGAGCTGGTAAATCGCATATGAAACCAGGAAGTCACGACGACAAACGGCGACACGCGACAACAACAAATTTTTTTGGCATAATAAGGAAAGCATTAGTTAACATTTTAACCGACACGAAGGGGAGGCGTGTCGTGTGCCCGACACGCGCATCTTAAAGATGCACAAAAAAAAGGGTTACGCAAAGGGTTACGCGAGGGTTGACAGGATATTTGCCAGTCGGGCAGCTGCGGGGAAAGTGTGCTGCGGCTTATGAAATGGAAATGCGTGCCAGAAGCAAGCGCCGGGGGGAAAGTGATTTTGTTTTCCTTCAAAAATATCAATACATATAAGAAAAACCCCAAAAAAAATTGGGGCGTGGCAGCGCTGACTTTTAATTACGCCCGCTGAATGCCTGTCAAGGCAGCTCAATGCCCGTGCCAGTCAAGGTGAACGCCTGTCAGCAGAAAATAAAAAACACACACACACACACACGTACACAAATAAAGATCGAAAGGTGAAAGTTGTGCATTGTGCCAAAATGCATACACTCAGAAAAAAATGTGACCAATAACAGTTTTAGTCTTAATCCAAGTCTTTTTTTTTTGTATTATAAATTAAATGAAAATTTGTTTAAAATAAAATCCCTTCTCTCTTTTTTTAAAGGAAATAAAAACCCATTTAAAGTCATTTTTTTCTTAATTTATATTCTCAATGAAAGATATTTTAAATGCAATGAAAATTAGTTCAAAAAAATTTTGTCCTATTCCAAATTCCTTTTTCTTAAATGAAATAAAAAGGAAATTCGTTTGATATATATTTTCTCAAATTCTTCTAGCAAACATTTTAAGGAGAATTCGAGCATGTTTTGCTCAAATTTTCAAGAATTTATTTCAACAAGTAGCTTACGCTTAATTCAAGCAATTCTGTGATTTATTTAAGAATATTGAAACAGAAAATGCACGTCAATAAAGTGAAAAATTGGGGAAATTAAATACATATCAAGCTAGACAAGACTGTAAAGCTGACCAGAATTGGGAAAATGAAGTGAAATTAAGAACTGCATTTTTTCGCCGAGTGTAAGATTAAGAAAAAACAGTTGCCAATTGCAATTGCAGCACATCCTGCTGCGCGGCAGCTGCGACCACGCGGCCACAGTTAAAAAAGTGTACATTAAATCCTTTTTTCAGGCTCAATTTGTTGCAGCTTCTGGCAAGGTTGTGGCTCGTCCTGGCTTAAGGCAAGCTGCGCCAACTAAATCGAGCGCTCCAACAAAAGGACGAGCCCCGCTTATTCCAGGTTTTTTGGCGGTTTATATCCTTACATTTTCCCTTCTTCTCTTTATTTTTTTTTGTGGCATTGTTACATTGCGATTACTTTAGCTGCAACACGGCGATTAACACGCAACCGCCGGCACATCCTTTACCGGCATCCTGGCCAGGATGGCTACCTGGAGCCAGCTCCTGCCCCTGCCTCAGTCGAGTTTCATTTCTCTTTTTTAGGCGAATGCCTTTATTGCTTTCTTATACGCGCTTTGATTTCTATTGCGGCAATATCCTTTATCCTTTGTGCCATTGTTGCATGCACCGGCTGGCAAACACATTAGAGTTGCAACCGAGCCGTACAAGAAGAAGAAGAAGATGAAGAAGGGTGTGCGTGCGGGGGCGGGGTGCGAAGCCAAAAGTGACAGCATTTCAGCATCTAAAGATCCTTTAACGATTTTCAATTCAATTCACCAATATTTAATCTGTTTTTACAGAGCGAGATACCCCGCGCTCTCTCTCCCTCTCCCTCTCTCTCTCTCCCTCTCTCCATATATGTCTGTCTCTTTTATAGGTTCTTAACGGTTTGCAGTTTTTCATTTTCTGATATAATTTCCAATGGGGACCACACACACACCATAATTTATATATTGCGCATATCGAAATTTAAACAAATATATAGATTCTTTCTTTAATAATATTTAAACACAACCAAAAAAATACTTTAAAGGTTTCAATAAAATCTTATGTTTGGCCCAAAATAGATACTCAATCAATATATTTTAAACCTAAGCTGAAAGTGAGGTCAAGGTTCAAACCCTCAGCAATAGTTTTTATGATAGAACTTTAACTGCAAATGGGATTAATACAAGGAAAAACCCCTAACTACGCAGTTAAAGACTTGAAGTTCAGACAATATTGAAAATGTTCTTGCATTTCCACGAGGATTCGATCCTTAAGCTTTGTGCTCATTGTGCCGACACTTGGCCCACAGACAAGCTCTGTTATATAATCAAATATAGGTTATAAAATATAGGAAAAGTCACATATAGTAGGGTCAAGGTTGAAACCCTTAGTAATATATTTGTACATTGGGATATAGTTCATAGACGAAACATAGGAAACTTCAATTACGTCTAAGAATCATGAGATTATCCGAAATTTAAATATATTGCAAAGCCTGCTCATCTAATAGCCCCTGAATGCGGTTCAAGCCCTCAGAAATCGATGCGAATCTTGTGAAAGAACTTTTGCAGAAAATGTCCAATACCGCTTCAACAGACAGGTTTGAGATTCAGAATAGTTTTTGCATATGACAAATATGATATATGAAAGTACATTTTCATGGGGATTCGATCCTTAAACTTCTTGATAAGTTTCTCTCAGCTTAAATTTAAATATACAACTATATTTATATACTATCTAATCCTCCATTTTGCTTGCCTGGCAT